CCTAAACCCTAAACCCTGAAGGAACAGAAGCTGTCAAAGCATCTCATGGCCGCGGCCGCAGCACATTGCGTGCTCTTTTCAGGGCGCGTGCGCCTGCGGCTTCAAGAGGGCTGTGTGCTGCTCAGCTGAAAGCATGCATGCTATAGAGCCCTAAACAGGTTTATACTATATTACAGTTTATTATGGAAAATTATAGTATATTCNNTAGTATATTCTATAGTATATTATACTCTATTATGGCCTCAACAGTTACCAATGTCATGGTTCCATATTCCTTTTATAGTTATGGTCTATGCTACCTCAAATGCCCCTGTCGTAGGGTGGTTTGGAGCCATGTTCACTGTATCCTTTGATATCAGAACCGTTATTTTTGTTCGTAGTATCATCATTATAATGATGATGGTGATTGCATGTTTTAAGTACTACTGTTATTGCTACTATGATGATTTAACGCTGATACAGTTGTTATATGTGCATGACCTTAGTATACTATAGTAGAGTACTTCCCAAGGTATAAGGTACGTAGGGTCATGCAACAGTTTTATTTTCCAGCGTATTATGAATCCTACTAGTGCTGCCACTATGATCGAGACAAAGCTCCTAGATGATCCCTAAGACTGCTAGCTCGGGTTTAGGGTTTAGGGTTTGGGTTTGAGTTTAGGGTTCATTGTTTGGGCTTAGGGTTTAAGGTTCAGGATTTAGGATTTTGGGTTTAGTATTTAGGGTTCCGGGCTCAGGGTTTAGGGTCTAGGGGTGACTCCTAACCAGATCCAGCTGAGGACTTTGCATCCGCTGGAGGCAAAACGCCAGGAAGACAGCACTGTCTTCGATGCTGCTGGGATAGCAATCACAATCATGATAACAAATGACAGTATTCATAGCTGTACTAGCAACAGTCTAGATTGCAAGCCCCTCAACCCTGAACCCAATCCCAAGCCCTACGCCCCAAACCTCACGCCCAAAACCCAAAACCCTGAACCCCAAATTTCGAAACAGTAATACTAATAGTCATAACAACAATAATAGTCGCAGTAGTACTAATAATAGTCATAGTGATAATGGTGAAAGAAGAGAGGCCCTAGGATAGAGAGCGCAAAGTAGAGCAATAGATACCTAAGACTTACTGGTTCTTGGTAGGGAATGAGGGAATATAATCCCTACATATCGTGGGTTCCCCTGTACTACCTCTCTAGGTTCCCACCAAATTCAAGCTATTTTTAGGTAATAAGGTTTAGTCGATATACTCTACGGACTCTACGAGTGTAGCCCCCACGGTCGCCTGTGAAATCCAATCCTAAACTCCGTGCGGCTGCCCAAAGCCAAGCCTCGAGCCTAAAACCTTCAACTCTGAATTCTTACTTTTTTTTGCTTTAGGGGTTTATGGTCTAGAGTTTAGGGTTTAGAGTTAAACTCCAAATTCTGAGGTTGTGCCTACTATTCCTATTACTATTACTATTACTATTACAATTTCTATTACCATTCCTATCTATTCCTATGTCTATTACAATTACTATCTATTACTATTACTATTCCCATTACTATTACCATTACCGTTACTATTACTATCACTCCCTGCGCAAGGTAACATCGTGGGCCGCTTTTGGTGGCGCGAGTGACGCAGACATGCGACGCTGCCAACTGATGACAAGGACTCATGACTGCTGATGCATGCCTTTGTTCTGCCAAGGTTCCTCAATACTTTTATGGGTGTAATTACCGCTCGTCACCACCCAGTTTATCTTACCAAAAGTTCGCCATGGCGATGCAATCCAATGTGCAAGCAAGTGACAGGATGCTGACGGAACGCAGTTTCATCGAAGAAGCGGTACATTCGGACAGACGCATTGCCGCACAAACTGCTAGCTTCATCTGTAAAAATTGCTCCGAACGCTAGCCTCTAAACCCCAAGCTCCCAAGCATTTGAGCTATAGACTAAATTTTTTGACGGGGTTATATTGGGGAGTATTATATGGCTTCTTAAGGGGGATGCTAGGAGTTGAGATCATAGCTCTCTCATTTAGCCTCTACCTTAGAAAGCCTAGTTACCCCAAATAATGGGCTACTTTAACCCAAAGTAGTAGGAAATTAGGGCAAAGTTGCCTGTGACTATGGGTAACCCTAAACCCTAAACCCTAAACCTAAGTCCCTAAGCCTTCAAGATCATCCGAGGAATCCTTGCGGGAGCCAAGGACCTTCTCTTCAAATACGCTGTTCGGCTTTTCCAGACATTGGGATTTTCCTCAAAATTGGGGGGTGGGTACCTTTTTAGCGGTCCCTATAATGAGGATTATAGCATTTTGGGGGTACTTATAATAAGGGGTTATAGTACTTTGGGGGTCCTTATAATAAGGATTATGGTATTTTGGGGGTCCTTTATTTCGGGAAACTACCACATGGGGCATTCTCAAAATCCGGGTACCCCGAAACCCCCAAGATTTCTGGGGAAGATGAGCTAAAAGCCTTTGGGGTCAGCAACAACTACAGTCCGTTCAAGCAGGTTCATCTGAGTTTCCATGCTGTTGCCTGGGAAGGTACGTACTAAACCCTAGGCCCTAAAGTCTGAACCTTAGGCCCTAATTCTGAAAGAGTGTCTTTTCCTTGGAGTCTGCCAGGGTCCACGGTGTTTGGTCCCCACAAAAAGGTTATTGTCATATATTGCGGGCTTGCAAAATTTGGGGTACCTGAAAAGGGTTCGTAGGGTATATACAGGGTTTAAACGGGATACTTAGATTTTAGGGTTTAGAGATTAGAGTTTAACAGTTTAGGGTTTCCCAACAATAGGGGTACGTTTTTCGGGGTCCTTATAACAAGGATGACAATAAATTAGGGTTCATATTGGGACCACCTTATATGGGAAACCACCACATACACATACGGAGCTTGACGTCCTCCCTAAACCCTAAACCCTAAACCCTAAACCCATCTTGTGGCCTCAAAGTCCATGTTTCCTTGACTGTTTTTCGGGTTTAGGGTTTCAACATGTAGGGTTGGGGTTTAGGGTTTAGGGTTTAGGGTTTAGGGGGTTGGTGGTAATGATGCTAGTAGTAGTGGCGGGAGCAGTATAGTCAATGAAGCAGGCAGGAAAACTCGATTAGTCATTCTAAGCTTTCATGAGCTTCCGTGTTGCCTGCCCATTATAGGAGTCCTATATAATCCCTATAGTAATAAACCCGAAGCCCTAAACCCTAAACCCTAATAAGCCCGAAGCCCTAAATCCTCTCATTGCTCGCCTAGGCAGTGATCCGTGACGTATGGTTCGAAGTCGCCATGAAACTTGTGGCCGTAATCCTGGTCGCAGTGCCTGGGATGTTTAGGGGTTAGGGTTTAGGGTTTTAGGGGTTTAGGGTTTTAGGGTTTCAGGGTTTAGGGTTTTAGGGCTTTATTGTTGTAGGGTTTAGGTTGTTCTTCAACCCTTCCCACTCCTCAAAATCCTTCTGATTAAGGTTTGAGGGTTTAACCGGTAGGGTGGGCCTTGTGATTGTGAACCCCAAGCCTTAATTCTTTTAGGGTTCATGGTTCAGAGTTCAGGGCTTAGGATAGTCACAGGGACCCAGTCCCCCACTCCCCCTTAAGCAGCACCAGTAAGTCAACCATAGTATGGCTGCTGTGGTCGACTTTTACATGTTTCTCAAAAGGAGGATCCGCCT